TGCTATTGAAACGGCCTCTTATGTGGTCTCTCTGCCTTAAGCCTTTCCCTTCTTCATTTCATCCTATGACAAACTGGCAAAGTGAAATTCCTGAAACACAAATCTGACCATGTCACTCTTCTGCTCAAAAATTTTCAGTGACTTCCACCTCTCCCTCTACAAACTCTTCTGTTTAGCACTGAAAGCTTCTCACCATCTGGCTTTTGGCTCCTATCTTCCTTCCTAGGCTTGCTACACATTATTCCTCTTCTCTCACTCTACAATCCAGTCAAATTAGTCTTTTTGCTATTTCTCACAAGCAACATCCCAGCATCCACATCGGTATAGGTTGGCCCTGATCCTGAGTCTCTCCCACGTTGTCCTCCCCTTTCTTCCTCTGACTCTGAGTCCTACTCTTCCTTTAAGGACAGCTCAGTTCAAGTCCAAGAAGTCAGGAAGGAAAGAAATAAATGTTTATTAAGCACCTACTATGCGCCAGGTACTGCATAAACACTTTATCCATATTAACTCAGTTGGTCTCCATAACAACTTTGTGAGGTAGGTGCTATTATTATCCCCATTTTACAGATGAGGAAACTGAGGCAGACAGAGGTTAAGTGACTTGTCCAGGGTCACACAGCTAGTAAACATCTGAGGTCAGATTTGAACTGTGTCTTCCTGCTCCAGGCTCAATGCTGTAGCCACTGTGCCACCTAGCTGCCCTCAATACAACATAGAAAATGTTAATTTGTAGTTTTCTAAGTCAAATTTGCAGCCTACAGGGGTTCCTTTCTTTGGAGTTTGACACCACTGCCTTAGAGCATAGAAGATGCTAACAGGAAGGAACCATAAAAGTCATCTAGTTTGACAGCTTAATTTGACTGAAGGTAAAAGTGAGGCACCAACGAAGTTGTGCTCTCAGATGCCCCCTGGGTTAGAAGCAGTAGGGATTGAAAGACCTTTTTCCTAACTTTTGGCCAGCTCTTTTCTCACTGCTTTGCAACTGTCCTTGCTCTGTTCTAACAGAAAGTGTGAACGCATCACTCTCTTGCTTTGTCTCTATGGCGTTGGATCGAGTTCTCCCAGATCCCCAGCCACACCATGAGGAAAGGGCAATGGTTTGTACCAGCTGATCTGTCCATTCACCTGCCCTCTTGTTAGTGGCAGAGAGAAAGAACAGAGAGGTACAGGGACTCCTACCATGTCACACAGCATAAAGGCCACTGAGAGAATGAAAAGAACCCTAGATGAGTTTACAAAGCATTTCTCCACCCATGATATTCACAGGACTTGTGAGGAAGTCACTTTGCAAACTGTAAAATGCCATGGATATTATAAATGGGAGTATAGCTCTTCACAGTTAAAAAGTGTTTCCCTTATAGAAAGGTAGCTGGGTAGCACAGGGAATAGAATGCTGGACTTGAAGTCAGCAAGATCTGAGTTCAAATCCTGCCTTAGATGTGGTTCTTCTGTTATTTTTCAGTAGCATCTGACTCCTCATGTTCCCATTTGGGGTTTTCTTGGCAGATACTGGAATGGTTTGCCATTTCCTTCTCCAGCTCATTTTACAGATGAGGAAACTGAGGCAAACAGGGTTAAATGACTTGCCCAGGGTCACAGAGCTGGTAAGTGTCTAAGGTCAGATTTGAACTCAGGAAGAAGAGTCTTCCTGACTCCAGGTCCGGCACTTGATCTACTGTGCCACCTAGCTCCCTTAGATACTTTGAATCTGGGCAACTCACTTAGTCTAAACCTTGGTTTTCTCCTCTGGAAACAGGGATAATAATAGCTTCTACCTCAGAGGGCTGGATCAAATGAGATAATATAGGTAAAAGGCTTTACAATCTTTACAATGCTAGCTAAAATTATTATTAATGTCCCAGGGAAGGAGGCAGGGCAGGAATTATTATACCTATTTGACAGAGGAGGAAACTGAGGCCTGGAGGGGCCCTCACTTACCCCAGGTCACACATTGAGTAAGTGACAGAGTTGGGACCAGAAGCCATAACAACAGCTGTAATAACCCTTCACATCTGTATATCACTCTCCAGCTAGTTAGTAAGAGAACTGCGATTTGAACCCTGGGTCACGGAACTGCTAAGGAGGACAAGGGTCTTTCCAGTATAAAGCAAATTGCCTCTAAGTGTGGGAGATGTGTAATACGCTCCCTTGTGTGATGGCTTCAGGGAAGCATCTGAGCCTGAATCGGGAAAGGGAAGGCCGAGAGGAAGCGCTTCTCCCCAGGGGGGCATTTCTGCCGGGCCAGTGGCTCTCATTGTCTGAGGGAGGAAAGCCTGACCCCTGCCTGGGGCTGGGGAAGAGGGAAACACCAGGTGTCTGAATTGGAAGAAAGGGGTAGGCTGCCAGGAAGAGAGGAATGGGAAAAAACTCATTGACCAAGCATTTCCTGAGCCCCAACCATGTCCAGGGTGGCGATGTGGGGAGGAGAAATGGAGAACACCCAAAGCCCTGACCTCAGGAGCTGCTCACCTGGAGCACCAGGCACAAAGTCACAACACCAGGCAGAATGTGTATCATAAGAGAGGGACAGACTCAGGGATGGGGAAAGTCAGAGAATGAAGGGATCTCAGAACTGGAAGGCATAATAACTAATATCTGCACCTCACAACGACCCTGGGAGGCTGATGCTATTATTATCCCCATTTTACAGATGAGTAAACTGAGACAAGAGAAGTCAAGTGACTTGCCCAGGGTCACACAGCTAATATCTGAGGCAAGATCTGAACTCAGGTCTTCCTGGTCTCAGGTCCAATGCTCTCATTATTATGCTACTTGACTGCATCCCACATACTTGAACATGGTCAAGTATGACCTTGTCGGTGTCCCTTCAAAGCAGTCATCTAGCCCTGTCTGCAGACCTGCAGTGATGGGAACCTCATTATCATCTTCCTTCTACCACCTACCTACCTCCCACCTCCTCCCTAGGCAGATAATTCCAATTTTAGAGAGCTCCATTCTGCTGGTGAAGTGGATAGAGTTCTGGGTCTGAAGTCAGGAAGACCTGAGTTCAAATCCAGCCTCAGATACTTACAAGCTGTGTGAGCTTGGGCAAGTCACTTCACCCTGTTTGCCTCGGTTTCCTCATCTATAAAATGAGCTGGAGAAGGAAATGGCTAAACTACTCCAGTATCTTTGCCAAGAAAACCCCAAATGGGGTCACGGAAGTCCGACATGACTGAATAGCAACAACAATCACGAGGAAGTGTTTCTTTACATAGTGTGGAATTCCTAAGTGCAGCTTGCCCCCATCATGCCTAGCTATGTCTTCTGGGGCCAGGCAGAACAAGCCTGTTCCCTTTGCCTCAAAAGTAACAGTAACGACAGTGATGATGACGCCTGACATATACGTGTCACTACAAAGTTTCCATTCAATCATCCCATCTGGTGCTCACAACACACCTGTGAGTTAGGTACTATAATACACAAGGATAATGAATCTCCTTTCGCAGAGGCAGAAAGTGCAGGTCTCTGAGAGGATCACTGCCTTGGTCAGGCTGACACAGCCTTCATAACATCCGAAGACAGTTCTCATGTCCGCTGTACGCCATTTATTCTCTGGGTTCGAATGGCTACAGTTCTGTCAACTGATGAAGCAAGGCAAGATGAACCTGTTCACCTGGAATTATTAGGGAGCCATCATGATTCTACCCCTGCTTTGTGACCTTAGGCAAGTCATTTGCCCCATCCGGGGCTCATTTGTAAAATGTAGACGATTTCTAAGGTTCCCTCTGGCTCTGATTCCCGTGCTCTTTGGTCAGTGGGTCAAATGAGAAATTAAAAATCTGTCTCTGTTATTTACTAGCTACAAGTCATTTTCCCCCTCGCTTAGCCTCAGTTTGCTCATTTGTAAACCGAGAACAATCCCTGCACTTGTGCAAGTTTGATATGGCTCCTACTATCATTAATATTGAGATTCCTGAAGTTCTTTGGGGAGGAAAGCTGCACCAGTCAGTCCGCAGTCTCCGCACCCCAAACCCCTTCCTCCCTCGAGTCTTGCTTGAGTTTCTTTTGCTGCAGTTTAAAAGCAGGATTTTCAAATGCTGCTTCTCCCCGTTTCTTTTTTTCCTAGCCCTGCAAAGCTCTACAAATCCTGGGCAGAAAGCCCTCCCCTCTAGCTGCGAGAGGCAAGCCGGGCCCTGCCCTTGCTAAATTGGTTACAAGCTGCCAGTGGGAAGATGACTCCTGGCCAAGGTGTAAGTTCATCAATATAACCTCAAGGCTGACTGCTTGGTTACCTTGGCCTCAGATCCTTGTCACTTTCTGAGAAGCCTCTGTTCCTCCACCATCCACCCTCCCCAGGCCCAGGCTCCACCCAGGCTCTCCCTTCCCCTCCTCTTTTCCCATGAGTCCAAGAACCAGTGACCTCTGGCATTATCTCTGAATTTTCTGTCCTCTTCTTCATTTCAGTCACAACATCACACCAATTTCTCTGTTTATGCCATTTGGTTCACGCTGTTCCCCTCCCTCACCCCCCACCTCCATCCTCTGTCTCTGTCTTTCTGTCTCTCTCTTTCTCTGTCTTTGTCTCTCTCTCCCTGTCTCTATCTCTTTCTTATGCTATAGGGGAAATAGCACTGAACGTAGAGAATCAGGAGGTTGGCAAATCACTCCCCATTTCTAAGCCTCAGTTTCCCTCTTGTGTTTTAATGCATTAACCACTTCGCTAGGTTTTGACCGAAGCCCTCTGTACACTACAGAATTGTCTCCCTTTTTAAACTCTGTCTCTCCTGTCTGTCTCTTTCTTCTGTTTTTAATCCAAGTCTGTCTTTCCTCTCTTTCTCTCTGCCTGTTTCTGTCTCTCTGTGTCTCCTCTCTCTGTCTCTGTCTTTTCTGTGCACGAGGGCGCCTCAATAGTGAAGCAGGTATCAGTGTCCACTCCTCACCCACTTCCCCATGCTTGCCATGCCCGCTCCTGTCCCGGTGCCTTCCCTCTCTGAGATCCCCGTGTCCCACCTCCAGCCACCCAGGTCCTGCATCCTCCCCTCTCTTTCAACACTTACCAGAGCTTCGTCTTATGCTGTTGGCGCTGATCGGAACCTGCTAGGCTGCTCTGGGGTTACCTCTAGGGGAACGGGTTTCACATTTACCTTACCACCTTTTAAAAGTCAAAAGTTGTGGGAAGGAAAGTGAAACTCTAATGGTGGGATTTCAGGCAGGGAGACAAGTATCTGTCGAATCTCACAAAGGTAGACAAGCACCTAGGTGTCCCTACCACCACCCATTAGTAAGAGCAGCCTTGCTCACTCAACTCTTTTTCACTAACCTCCATTTTTGCCCCCTTTAGCCTCCACTTTGTCTGTCTGTCACGGTCTCCCTCCCCTTATGTTTCTCTCTTTCTTTCTTTCCTTCCTTGTATCTTTCTGTTTGACTCCAGTTTCTGTGTCTCCCTCCTTCCTTCTCTCTCTCCCTCTCCCTTCCTCTGTTTCTCAGTCTTCCTCTGCTTCCCTAAGTTGGTGCTTCTCTCATCCCCCTCCTTCTGTTTCTGGCTGGGACAAACCCCAAGCAGCTCTGAGAAGGCGGGCTTGTGGTTGGGATGGTCCCGTTGAGCAGCGGCCACACCCCTAGGGGCTGGCTCTCTCCACTCCAGCTCTCTTAGGCTCCCTCTCCAGCTTTCTGTACCCTGCACTTGAGCTGGTGCTCTCTCCTTTGAGGCAGGCAATGAAGAGGATGACCCAGGATGACCCCCCCCCAGAATGCGGGGGGACCACGAAAGGCCTTCAGTGTGAGGCCAGATGAGGTTGGCAGATAGAGACACTGCTCTCTCCTAGTAAACAGGGGAGTTATAAGTCTCTGGGTGTCAGGTTCTTTTTAGCCTTGAGAAGATACCTCCATGTCCTACTCACTGAGCCAACATCTTCCTCACTAAGCTCTTATAGCCATACTGAACCCTCATTAAATCACTGAACCTCACCCCCACACTCCATTTCCATTTTCATATCTGAGACACTATTCTCATTGATCTCCCACTTGGCCAACATCCTGCTTACTGAGACCTCCATCATTGTCCTCGCTGACATCCCTTCTCTCTCAATGAGCCCCCATCTCTTACTGAAACCCCAACCCCATAATGAACCCTCATAGATATCACTGAGGACCCACCACCATTCCCACATTGAACCCCCACACCCCCTACTGAGCCCCCAATATGAATCTGAGTCCCATTCCCTTTATTAAGCCCCCATTCTCTAGGGGAACCTTTATGTCTCTCACTTGCTTCTCATTCCTTCATGAAGACCTCATGTATATCACTGAACCTCACCCCCCTTACTCAATGCTTATCCACTCACTGAGCCCCCATCCCATCACTGAGACCTAATGGGATTTACCAATCCTCAGAGAGTCTCTTCCTGAGACTCCATCCTTTCTCTGAGCTCTGATTCTCTTAATAAAATTTCATCCCTTCACCCCCCTTCCTTAGCCCTCATTCTCTTTACTAGGATCCCTTCTTCTCTGCTAGCCCCATCTTCTCACTTAGCCCTAATCTCCTCACTGAGGCTCCATTCCCATCATTGAACTATCAGCCCACTCAGTGTGGACCCATCTTCTGAGACCTCTTCTGCTCAGATCTGCATTGGCCACACTACTAGGGGCTGGCCTTCTCCACTCCAGCTCTCTGTCCCCTGCACTTGAGCTGATGCTCTCTCCTTTGAGGCAGGCAATGGAGAGGATGACCCAGGATGACCCCCCAGGATCTGGGGGGACCATCTGCATCTCCTCACTAAGTCCCCATGCTATTGAACTCCCATCTTGTCAGTGAGCTGCTATTCTTTTCACTGACCTTCCATCCTACCACTTAGCCGTCGTCCTCTTTAAGTGCCATTGCCCTCAGTGAACCCCCAAATCCTCACAAATCCATTTGACTGAGCTCCAATTCTATCACTAAATCACCCTTCACTATCACAACCCTTAGCCATCACCCTGCTCATTGAAACCCTTATTCCCTTCACTGAGTTTCCACCCCCTCCATGCTTACTCACATCCCTCTTTGAGTCCCCATCTTTCTGAAATGCATTTCTTCACCCAGCTATGGTCAGCTCCATGGACATTTATTCCTTCACTAAGCCTCCGTTCCTCTTTGTGAGACTTCAATCCCTCACTAAGTTCCTAACCTCTCCTAGAGCTCTGATCCCTTTGATGAATCCCAATCCTCTTCACTGAGCTCTCATTTCCTCTATGAATCCTCATTTCCTTCATTGAGACTCAGTCCTTTCACAGGGCTCCCATCTTCTGACAAAGCCCCTTCTGGCTTGCTGAACCCTCAACCCCCTTTCCAAGGACACACCCCATAACTGAGTCCTTTACTGAGACCCATTCCCTTCATAGACCCCATGTTCTTTCACTGAGGTTCCATTCCCCTTACTCATCCCACATTCCACCATTGAGTCCCCATTCCCCTTATTGAAACCTATTCCCCATACTAAGCCCACATTCATTTGACATATCAATAAACTGGTCCATAGATGAAGAAGGACTTATTTAGCACAGTACCTGGAACATAATAGACACTTAATAAATGTTTATTGACTGGCTGAACAACTGTCTCAAGACTACACTTCCAGGTAGGAGCCAGAACCAAATCTAAAGTGGCAAAGGTCTTAGGCTGGGTCCTAGCTTTCAGTTTCAGATGTGTCTCTATCATGTGTGACCTTGGGTAAGTCAGTTTCCCGTCTGGGCCTTACTTTCATCACCTGTAAAACAAGACGGTTGGACTAAATGACATATCTGGGGAATCTTAGAACTGGAAGATCGACCGTAACCTTCTCATTTTACAGATCTTCTGTGAGGATAAGAACATTACCTGGTCAGTAGGCAGAAGAGTGAATGTGCAATCCTAGAAGATAAAGCATGCAGGTATTATTATCCCATATTGTTGTTGTTCACTCATTGCAGTCTGTCTGACTCTTTGTGACTTCGTTTGCGGTTTTCTTGGCAGAGATACTGGAGTGGTTTGCCATTTCCTTCTCCAGCTCATTTTATAGATGAGGAAACTGAGGCAAACAGGGTTAAGTGACTTGCCCAGGATAAGCGTCTAGGAAGTGTCTGAGGCCAGATTTGAACTCAGGAAGATGAGTCCTCCTGACTCCAGGCCCAGCTGTCCTATTTTATTTATATATTATCTCATATTATAGATAAGAGAACTGAGTCTTAGAGAGCGATCATCAAACCAGAAAGATCCCTAGAGATCATTTTGTCCAATTCCCTCATTTTGCAGATGGGAAAAGAAAACCCAAAACAACTGAGGCTTTAGTTTGTAACTAAGTGACTTTTCCAAGATGACCCAGGTAGAGAAAGGCAGAGCCAGGATTCAAACCCAGGTCCATTGAGGAAAATCCTGTATTCTTTTTGCCATAGGAGACCACTTGCCCATAGTGGCACAGCAGATAAGAGTATGAGCCAGGAGCCAATGAGTCAACCTCTGGTTATAAAGCAACTTGGCAACATGGTGGGAAGAGATAGTTAGGGAGCAAGGGTAGAAACAAGAGACGAAGGTCCAGAGACTCTCTTATTGTTTCCAGTCCTAAACAGCACCATCAGCACCTTTATTCTCCGTTCTGCTTCTGGTAAGGAGGAAGAGAAACCCAAAATAAGCCCAGCTCAAAACCTATACATAGGCACATGTGATTGTGAGGAATAGAGCCTCCAAGATTCACCCCCACATTCAGTCCACCAACTCCTCAGCCCTGCCATCCCAGTCCTCCCAGGCCTCCTCCTCGTCATACCCCAACTCCTACCCCAACACTATCTAGAACAAGGATGAGAAACCGGTGACCTTGAGATCCTTCTAGATCCTTAAGTGCGGCCTTTTGACTGACTCTCAATTTTACAGAACAAATCCTATCCAGAAAATAGCCCTTGACTCAGGGTTAAAGGGCCTTAGTTCTAATTTTCTAGAATACTTTCCATTTACAGAGGAAGGAATTGAGGCCCAGAGACCAAGATCACAGAGCAAGTCTGTGGCAGACAGACAACAAAGCACTTCTGTTCCACATGCCTCAGTTTCCTCCTCTGTAAAATGATGGGGTTGGACTAGAGTCTCAGGGACTCTGGAGAGAGCCTTAAGTCAATCAGAAGAGGAAAAACATGAGTTTGTGTCTTTAATATAATGGAGGGGACTGAAGTTCTCTGATCCCAGGGCACCAAATAATTAATAACTAACATGAATTTAGCACTTTTAAGGCTTACCAAGTACTTTTACATATATTATCTCACTTAATTCTTGTGACAGTCCTTTGAAGTAGTTATTATCATCCCCAGAAACTGAGGCCCAGGGTCACAGGATTAGCACCCTAGAGTTAAAAAAAACCTTGGATGACATCTATCTGACCCCCTCTTTCCACGGATGAAGAACCAAGGCCAGAGAGGTTGTGAGCTGGTCAAAGTCGCACAGATAGTAAGAAAGTAGTAGAACCAAGATTCAAACCCAGGTCCTCTGACTTTCAAGCCAGCATGCTTCTTGTTCCATACCATGCCCTCTCCCTTAGGTACTACTCATGGTGACATGGCTATTAGATGCCAATGATAGGATTAGAAACCACTCTCTCCTTATTGAGTCAAATGCTCAATCCAATAAAGCACGCTGACTGGAAGGAGCAGGGGAGGGGGTACTCTTTGGGGGATCATCTGATCATTTTACAGAGGAGGAAACTGAGGCTCAGAGAGGAGACAGGACTTATTCAAGGTCATACAAGTCAGTGGCAGAGTTGGGACTAGAATCCTGGTCTTCTGACTCCCTCCAGCCCAGATTTCTTTCTGCTGTAGCATCCCCATAAGACATTGTTCTCAAAGTGACTTTGCAGACTGTCTAGTCCTATCCCCTCGTTTTAAAGGAAGGCCAGAGATAGGAAGGGATTTCTTTATTTCCCAGCTTTGTAGACTTGGATAAGTCACTTTCCCTCTCTGAGCTTCAGTTTTCTCATCTGTAAAATGGAGATAATATTATCTGCCTTATTCCTTCTCTTTCTTTCTTTCTTTATTTGGGTCTCGGTCATTCTCAAAGAGCAAGAGCTTGACTGCTAATAAGACTTTCTGCTACCAACATCCTTGCAATCAGGACTTTCTCCTCTGAGAATCTTAGCCCTTCCTCTTTTCACTTCTCTCCAATGTGCTCCTCCCACCCCCACCCCCATTTCCAGGATGTTGCTGCCAGCTGGTTAGTGTGATGAATAGACTTCCGGCCATTCCTGGAAATGGACACAGTGGAGGTTAGTCAATTTCTGTGCAAGAGGAGGTGAAAGGGCTGTAGGAATAAATTTCTACTCTCTAGGTTATTGGGGAGATTGGAATGTTCCTAGAAAGAATGGAAGCAATTCATCAAGGAAAGAAACAAGAAAGAAAAAGAATTTGAAGAGACAGAGCCTGTTATCAGGGAAGTAGAAGAATGTAACACAATGTACTTTTGTACCTTTGAAACTATCAATGCATGATTGGATGGATGAATGGATGGGTGGATGAAAAGGCAAGCATTAGGCACCTATTA